ACATGTCCTCAGCAGTCTGTGTTAAAGGAGCAGAGATTCTTAACAGGTGTCAGAATTAGGTTTTAGTGTGTCAGTTGATCAGCCTCTCACTTGCTGGCACTTAAACCAGTTTTAGGATTAGTCCTTAGATGAGTAAATGAGAGCATGTACATGACAGACCACTTGCAGTTGTGTCTGTGACAGAAGAGAAGCAGCACAGGGCTCTGTCTCTCATCTGTTTTATGTTACAGCAGGATCTGTCTCAACTTCTGACTTCTAAAATGTATAACTTTGTTGTTTGAGAAATTTGCCTTCTCTTGCCAAGCAGTTCAAGGCATAGTCCCACATAGGAGGCACAATGACCTCCTTAGGATGAAGTGTTTCCTTTTGCAGTCTGCTCAGATGGGAGAACGGGGTTATTGGAGGCATTGCTGCCTCCTTGAATCCCAGAAATCCCTACTCCCCAGCTTGTTCTTTGGGAAGTCACAACTGCATCAGTCTGCTTGAAAGAATTTGCCAGCTTCGTTTGCGGCTTGTGCCAGCCAGTGCTCCACAACTGTCAGAAAGATGCTGAAGTAAATAAAGACTGTGCTGTAGCATTTTCCATGGGAACTTTTCTGTCTGGCTCTTCTAAAGCCACTGGAACTGTGCAGTTAGGGACAACAGGACTTGGTTTTCTAGAAATCCTTGTAAGCCTGTATTGCATATTTTTCAAGTTTATGTAGTTGCACTAAACCCTATAAATATTTACATGTTCTAGAGAATAAACTTAATAGCACCTTAAACTGAAATAGATTGGTTTTAGCAGCTAATTCTGGCTTAGTTAATATGAGGGCAATATTGACATCTAATAAAGAAGGAAGTTGTACAAGTTGTAGTAGGATCAAGATGGTAGGAGTTGTAATTGGGTGATTATTATTTTTTTTAATTTGGTCTTTTAAGATACCCTTCTTTATTTCTATCATCTAATACATACAAAGATTGCAAATGTCTGATCTTTGCTGTTTGTAAGAGGCAGGACTTTACTAGAACTAAAAAACCTTGGCTCCTGATGCTGTGAAAGTCTTCCAATAAGAGGAAATGCCTGAATTGCAAAATGGGAGCACAGTTGAACCTGTAAATGCAGAATTCTGACTTGCAGTTGTATTTTCTCATGACTTGGGTGCAGCACTTGGCATTCTGTCCTCTCCCTTAAGATGCCAGACTACAGTCAGAGATTTTACATTTGGCCAAGCAGAATTTTTTAGGGGCAAAGACTGGTGAGTTCAGGGGCAGCAGCAAAGGGACATTTCTGGGGTGCACTTTAAAGGAAAGCTGTGGCTGTGTGGATCAGGAGCAGGCACTGAGCCACTGGGATGTGTTTGCATTTGTGTTGCTCTTGAAGCCAGTCAGGGCTGTGCCCTCACAAGGATTTGAGCTCCTGGAGCTTCCTGGGTGTTCTGGGAACAATCTTAAGGCAAATGCCACTCTTCTTTTTGACATTTTACCAGTCTGGGGAATGCAGTGGGTGTCAGTCCAGCTGGCACAGTGCTGGACCAGGACACGATTCAGAGTCTACTTGTGTAAGTATTGAGGCACTTCTGTGTTGTGAAATGCAGAGAATTATAACATCAGTAAATATTTCTCATAAACAGTGGGGGTTTTAAGCTCTATTTAAATAGACTTAATGAATTGGAAGCTTTCCCTCATCCCACAGAAATCAAAGCCTTTGTAGGAATGTGCCTCCTATTGTCAATACAAGCAATATTCAAGTCTCATTTTGCTATGGTGATACTGAATTTCAGAATTACAGGCATAGTGCATGTAGGCAAATTCACCTCATAGTTTTGGGGCAGGATTTATGTTTTCTGGTTAATTTCTGACAGTCTACCTTTATCACTATATTTTGTGTTCACTGCTGCCTCAGATTGTATGGACTGGTACGTGATGGGCTGTCAGGAATTTTCCCTGTTTTCCTGAAGTGGCTGCAGTGGAGTAGATATTTGGTAGAACAGGTAGAGAGAAATGGTAAATGTTAACTTTTCTTGCTGTGGCTCAGAGGGGCCAAAGAGGCTTGTAATGCCCACAGAATATAAGCCCTGCAATAGTGAGTTGGATTAGACAAACAAAAATTTCCTGATGCTTCTCCCTGCTATAAAGAGTAATTTTTACCTGTTTTGATTAAAGAATAGAGGATGACCAGGTACTATCCATGTACACAGTCACATTTCTATCTCTTCATGAGCTGGTTTGTGTCATGTAGCACACCAATCCTATACCTAAAATACCACTAAAAATACATGTCTATATATATATTTTAAATAAGGCCTGGAAAAAATACTCAGTTTGCATGGTTTGGATGCATTAATTGATCTTTATATTGAACTTCATCAGCAAAGTTTAGAAGTTTTAACTGACAGCTTATATAACAATTTTAGTAATTCTAGGACATGGGGCTTTTAGGAATGTCAAGTATTCCAAGATGTGGGAATGAACTTCCAGAACTGGCAGTGCTTGGATTTGGATCCTTATTGCAGCTTGTTGTGATCAGTGCTTGAAAAAGGCATTGCCAAACCTCATGTGACCACCTCAGCATCAGCCTTAGACCTCAGTAGTTGCTGAGGCTTGATGAAGAGTGGGATGATAATAAGCAGCTGAGGGTGGGGGACTGGAAGAACAATTAAAATGATGGATTTCCCAGTAGTAGGCTGTAGTAAAATGTACTGCTTGACAGGCTGGCTGGCTGGAATGTGATTTGGGTCTGATAATCTGTCACCAAAAGATCGTTTTAAGGATATTTGTTTGAGTTTTGAAATCAATTGTGGATATTTGGATTCTCAGAGTGGCCACTTACCAGTCTTGGGTGGTCTTTGGGTGTTTGTCTTGGGGATGTGGTGGAAGGTGCAGATGTCTCTCCCATGTCAGTAGGAGTGGTTAAAATACAAAAAGGGGTGATGTGGCTTTTAGTCTTTAACAAGATGCTTCTCCTAAATTAATGTAATAATAAAAAATAAAGGATATAATAAGATTGCTGAGAACCTGCTCTTCTATCAAATTTCTTCTTTCCCCAGATTCTTGGGTTTGCCAAAGCTGTGGTTTAACTTGTTTTAAGAGGACAGATCATGAGAAATTTGATTTGTTATCTGTGACACAGATACAAATCTACACACACACACAAAAGTGTCAGTTTGGAGTATTTGGTTGGAATGATCATGGCAACAGCCATGAGGAATTGCCTAATCAGTGGCAAAAATGTGTTTGCATGGAAATAAAGTTTTACATTTGGCACTTCTGACTCCTACAGAGCAAGAACTAAAATTGGAAAGACAAAACTCATCTGGGGAGAATACATGGGCAGGCACTGAATGAGTAGTGCTGGAGTGGAACAGGAATGTCTTTTACAGGAAAAAGACACATGCAGCAGAAAACTGAAAAAAAATACACTCCTGTATGGTTTTCCTTCTGCCCTGACCTGTTAGGACTATGGAATGAATGGATGGATACTGTATGACTAAAATTCACAATTGAATTGTTGTTTTGGAACTTCTCTGCTTCAGAGCACTGTTGAATAATCTGTTATGTGTGGAAGCATACAGAGCACAGCTGATAACTCTGTAGAGAAATGTCTTGCACTGATAATCCATTGTCCCCCCTGCATTTCTTCAGAAAGCTTTATAATCCCAGCATTCAAAATGATACTTTTTGGCTGAGCTAAGAATGCTTTTCTAAATCCTGGATTAACCAGCAAGCCAGTGGTTAGTGTGCTTCTCTGCTAGCAGCTACTTCAATTTGTCCTGTTGGAGTTTTTTTAATTTTGGTAGGGGATTTTTGCTCGTTTGGGATGAGGGGTTTGTTTGAGGGGGAGGGAAGTGTTGTGGTTTTTTTCCTTTTTTTTATTTGGTTTCAAGTCCTGAGTGGGAGTGATTGTCCTGATTGGGTCTGATGACCTTTCCTCTTCATCAGCTTTTGAGTCTTGGTGAGCAGATGAAGTGAAGGATGGAGCTGGGTCCCAATCTCCGGCCTCATGGCCTCCACTCAGCTGCTGACTCTCAGGAGGTGCAGGAAATAGGGACAGGGCTTTCTCATTTGTCATCTGTGCTCTTCTCTGCTTGAGCTGCTGCAACGAGGGCTGCTTCTCAGGAGTGAGATTCTACTTACTGCTCCAGTAAAGATGGCTTTAGGGACACTATTCTGTTTCCTCAGCACTGCACTGTTCTCTTGTGGACCACATACCTAAAATAGAATATATTTGAAGGGATTTCTAAATTTAGGAAGTCTTATATTGGAACAGATCCTATTAGCAGCTCCACATCTTACTGATAGTGTATTCTGATAATTTGCAGCTAAGGAATAGATTCAGCATGATTGGTCTTGATATGAAGCATGGTACAGAAATCAAAGATTACCAGTGTCTCTAGAAGACATTGGGTTCATTCATTGTTCCTCCCATCTTGCTTTAGAAGGTACACACAGTGTATTTAATTTCTCTTTAATTCAGTTTTAATAGAGTATCCTGAGTGAAACTCTCAGGCTCCATTAGTAGCAAAGATGGTGAGCTGAAGAGAAAAAATTATGCTTTGTACCATTGGTACTGTTTGGAAAAAATAAAACTTTTTAGTCCAAAAACGTTTTAATAGATTCTATTTCTATGATCTAGTAATTTGTTTTTTGAAATAAAAAGGAAGATAAAGTGATCAAACTAATCTCTGTACTGTGAAGAAATGACTTTCTCTCTGGTCAAATGAAATGCTTGTGTGTATGTTACTGCTGGTGCTTCATCATGGGTCCACTTCTGAGCTGGCTTTTGATCTCTTACATTTTCTATTAGTGTGGGTTACAGAAATGGTCTGAGAGATGAGGTAAGTGTCAATATTTTGCAGTCTTCTGCTTAAAATAATTAAAGATTGGCAACTTTCTTGCTATGCATGGTCTATTTGGCCCGTAACAGAACAGCTACGGGTGGGCTGTTCTATGAGGTGGCTTGTTCCAGAATGGCTCCCTCACTGTCCAAGATGAACTGTGTGTTGTTTCTGTGCCCTCAGGAGTCGTGGAAGGTGACTTAGCTGCCGTGGAAGCCTACAAATCATCCGGAGGGGACATTGCCCGGCAGCTGACGGCNTGTGTGTTGTTTCTGTGCCCTCAGGAGTCGTGGAAGGTGACTTAGCTGCCGTGGAAGCCTACAAATCATCCGGAGGGGACATTGCCCGGCAGCTGGCGGCTGCTGAACCGCCCGTCCGCCTTCGACGTGGGCTACACCCTGGTGCACCTGGCCATCCGCTTCCAGAGGCAGGACATGCTGGCCATCCTCCTCACTGAGGTGAGCTCCCCTGGCCCTTGCAGGGATGGAACAGCACTTTGTGTCACTGCACCACTGTGTGCAGCCAGTGGCACACAGCTTTGGTTTGTGGTCGTGGTAGAATAGATGTGAGTCGCTGCCTTGTGCCTGGGATTTCTCCTCAAGAAGTGAGTTTGCTTTAAGAGACTCTGTTGTGATGGTCCTGAGGATGTTCAGTTTTCTCATTAATGAACAGTCTTGGCACACGTTGTGACCTTACTGGCAGTGGAAGTGAGCTATTGTGAGGCTTCCTGTGCTCTGGGTGGGGGAGAGGAAATGCTCTCAAAGCAAAGCACTGACATCAATGACAGCGTAGTTTGTTCTGAGTTTGTTAATGAGTTAGTGTACCTGGGCTGGCTTTCCTGGGTTTTGTGGGAGCTTCTCTTCCAGAGAGAGGCAAATTTCTTGCTTTGCAAAATTGCTGCATTTTTTCCTATTCCTTTTCCATTTTATAGACTGACTGGTTCCTCTGTTTTTGTTCTTCCACTTCTTTGTGTCACCTCACTTCTGGTGACCTCTTCTGTTCTCCATCTTTGTCCTGTAAATAATGGTGACCTTTTTTGTCTGTTTTCTTCAAGTCAGACTTTTGGTTCCTCATCTGATCAGGGAGAGACTTTTATTCTGCCTCCTTGCCTGATGATTAGTGCAATTCTGAAAGCTGCTGTTTGCCTGCAAAGCACATAAAGATGATGGAATGCTCAGTGTTGAATAATTAAAAAGAGTAGATGAAGCAAGACAAATGTAGTTAAAGCCTTGAGTATATATTTATATACCACTAATGTCAGTAGCTTTGTGCTGCTTACATAACTCTGTGTGGATGGAGTTATATGTTTAAAAACAAGTTAATTTACTGACATACTGTTTTAGGGATTTTTGTGTTTGGTTTTGTTTCAGTGTCTAGGAATACTGGCTCATCTTGCCATTTCTGGAAATGCTTAGTAGTGTTTGAGCTCCAGTGATAATTTCCTTTTCTAGGATATGAATGAGTGAAAATGTGGGTCTTAAAGGTGGGTTTCTTTAATATGTATCTGGTGTCATCCCTGTGCCACTTGTCCTTGATCACTGAATGGGTTTCTGCTGCCAGTGATGACTAGAACTGGAGAACTCTCTTAGCTTAATTGTTTTGGGAAGATTGTAGGAAGCTCTCTTGTGCTGTGGTAATAAAGTTTTGTTAAATCTAGACTTGACTCATGCATGAGATTTGAGATTGTTGTTATTATGAGCTCTTACCTATTTTTCCTCTTTTTCAGCTGGGAGCACTCACCTGTTAATTCACTTCAATTTAAAGATGTTTTTTAACCAGATCTATGTTATCAGTTCCATGACAAATGAGACATTTCATTAAGAATCACTAAACTTTTGTTCTTTCAGGATGCCAGTGTTTATAGTTCTCTTGCATTTCTTGCTAACCAAACACTCTGCTGGTGGTCATCCCTCCCAAATCTTTATATTTGATGGGATAATCCTGAGTGCAGTAACTGTGTTGTGTTACAGGTATCCCAACATGCAGCCAAGTGCATTCCTGCCATGGTGTGTCCAGAGGTGACAGAACAAATCCGCCGTGAAATTGCTGCATCTCTTCATCAGCGAAAGGGAGACTTTGCTTGTTATTTCCTCACTGACCTTGTGACGTTTACGTTACCTGCAGGTAGCTACAGAACCCTTCTTCCTGCTGCAAGGTTTTATTGCTTGCTCACTAGTTGAAAACGATGTGTATTTTGATTTTTCTGGTGGTGGTGTGTGTGTAGGTTTTATTCATTAAGAGCCTTATTAATTAATTTCTTTTAGAGTTTTATTTGTTAAGACCTATTTTATTGGGTCAGATTTAGTAGTTGAATTTGATGACTCAGTATTTGCATGCTTCAATCCATACATTGTTCCTGTGAACTGAGCATCTGTTGTCCTACTTAGGCATGAAGAAATGGAAGAAAAGTGGTGTGTTCTAAGGAAAGGCTGTATTTAAAGTGAAAATTGGAGCCCAGACATTTCTGGTCCATGATGTGATTTTTCACATGGCTATTTTAGCTTTCAGTCCTTTTTGTTGAGGCCCAGAGCTTTTCTTTTTACTTAGTTGTAGCAATTGCACTTTTTGAATACTTTTGAGGTGCTCCAAGATCAAGAGAATGTTTATCTACTAACAGGGAGCTATTAGAAGACTTTTAATCTTCAAAAGCTGTTTCCTTTAATAGAAATGCTATCAATAGTAAGAAAATGTGCAGCTGCAGACTGTGCCAATCAGCAGATCTGATCTGTTTGTCTTTTTATTAAAAACATTACAAGAATTCTGTTTTGAACCCCTTTGGTTGAGTGCTACCTCATCTCCTCTTTAGAAGGTCTGGATATTAACCACTTGTGCTCTGTGAGTCATGTATGAGAGGCACGGGGGGTTGGATGTATGGGGTGTGTCTGGGAGACTAAAATTCCATTGCTTTTTAGGGGAGAGAGGGGAAAGGGGCAACAGAAGGATTTCATAACACATGTGAGAAATGTTCTCTCCAGAGCTTAAGGATTTTTGTAGTATTTTCAAGAGAGAAATCTTAAAACACTGTGCAGCTTTTCTGGCACAGGTAATAGCTGTTAAGTAATTAAAAAATAAAACTGTTCAAAAGCTTTTGTGCACCAAAGGGTGCACTTTCCTCACACTTTGCCAACTATACATCTTTTGCAGTTTGGCTCCAGAGGGCATTTCCAAGCATAGAAGTATAAATCACACAATCCTGGTCAGATATTTCTTAAACAATGTAGTTTGGGAACCACTGGACCTTTCAAATAAACAAATTGGATCCTCCTGAAAAGCCAGTGCTTGGATATTAGAGAGCAAAGCTTTTACATTGATTGCTGGTCACTGCAAGCAGTTTTAACTTAAAAAGCCCCAATCAATCATGCAAAAAAAAAAAAAAAAAGTCCATCCCACCATCCCACATCACCCTGCCTGCACCAGGCATTAATGTACTTCAGTAGCAACTCATGTGCCTAAATGTGGACCTAAAAGCCCTGGGGTATTGGACATCTGAGCAGGACTGGCAGTTACCTCACTCCAATTAAGAGAGATCTTTGTGTCCTTGAAATAGCACTTAGGCCCCAGTCCTTATCCCCTAGAGTGCCTGAAGGGGTGCTGGATGTTCCTGTTCCTATTTTATTTACTGCCTTAACTTCCACGTGTTTAAGTTTGATGATTGTACTGAAACCAGCAAAGGTCCTCTGGTTGCTGGCAACCCTTTACTGCTTATCCTCTGTTGGAATGCAGGCCAGGAGCAAATATTTACTGTGTGGCATATGCTGAGTTTTAGAATGTGTGACAGTGCTTGTTGCTTTAAATGATACAGCAGACACAAAAGAGTTCTGCCCCTTATACTCCCTGCAATCCCTCTTTTTCTTTTTTTTTTTCCCCTCTTTTTTTATTTTTTTCCCTCTTTTTTATTTTTTTTCCCTCTTTTTTATGAGGTAGTTGCAAAATCTGTCTGTAGTGCTCTTGGAGCAGTTGTCAGTTAGTGGCATTTTCCATGACATAGCTTAATAGTTTTCCCATTTCTTGTTTTTTTTAACTTGCTGCAAGCCATTGGGGTTCTCAGAACTATTTCACTGAAGCCTGAATGTGGTAACAAAGGAAGGGGATGTTCTGGAGAAGAACACATCCCTTGGCAAACTGGACCTGTCCATTTGGATAGACTGCAGAGGAGAAGCCATTCCAGATGGATGGAAAACCATTGCTTAGGATTGAAGCTGTGCTAAAATACAATAGGGTTGAAATTTCTTTCGAAATTTCTCACCTCAAAGTGGTTCTCCACTTTCTCCTTCAGAGAAATCCAGTCTTACCCTATGCATGCTGTGATGATCCTTTCTGCATCAAAGGTGTGACAGTGAGGCTCAGATACAAACCTGCCTCAGCACTCTGCAAAGCCTTGGGTCACACATGGTGACAGCAGCTTTCCAGAGGAGGTGTTAGGGCTGATAGGGCAAAAGCTGTTCTGTGAGTTCTCCTGAGCTGCAGCTGGTGATGTCTCTTTCACAATAGCATTAAGTCACTCTTGTGTTTGCTTTCTGTTTTTCCAGATATTGAAGATTTACCGCCCACAGTCCAGGAAAAATTATTTGATGAAGTACTTGACAGAGATGTTCAGAAAGGTAAATGCACTGAGAACAGCTGAGATCACTCCTGGCCTTTCTTTAGAGAATGTGTCTCTTACTAAAAATAAACTACATATGTCTGTATATATGTGGCTCTGTCTATTGAAATGTTTTAAATAGAGGTTGGGTGCGTTCAACTTGATCTTCAACCTGGAATTCATGAAGTCACAGAATGGTTTGGGCTGGAAGGGACCTTGAAGACCTTGTAGACCAAGTTGCTTTGAGCTAGCAACTTTCAGAATGGGACAGCCACAGCTTCTCTGGATAACCTGTGCCAGGGCTCACTGTGCTCACAGGGAACAATTTCTTCCCAACATCCCATCTAATCCTGCTCTGTGGCATTGGAATACCATCCCCCCTTATCCTGTCACTGCATGCCCATGTGAAATTATTTTAACATTTCCAGTCTTTTTATGAGGTAGAGGGAGAATGGAGTCTGTAGAAACCATGTTTGTAGAACTTTTAAAAATCTTTAAAAGTCAGTTTTGAGCCACAAGCTTTTTAAGGAAAACTGAAAAAAATATTTTCAGTAACAATCCTCAAATAAATGATGTGGTGCTGTCGTTTGGTTTTGGTTTATTTTATTGACAGTAGGAGAGATTTCCTCAGCCAGTGTAGTTGACCTGTTCATTGTAAGAAGGAAAGCAGAGTTTATTCATGCAAAGGGGTAGATTACTGAGGCTATGCCATGATTGTGCTGTGTGAATTCTGTGAGGTGAATAAGCGTGTTTCAGAGCTGGCTGTGCCGTTGCAGAGCTGGAGGAGGAGTCTCCCATCATTAACTGGTCCCTGGAGCTGGGGACACGCCTGGACAGCAGGCTGTACGCACTTTGGAACCGCACTGCCGGGGACTGCCTGCTCGACTCCGTGCTCCAGGCCACCTGGGGCATCTACGACAAGGACTCCGTGCTGCGCAAGGCTCTGCACGACAGTTTACACGACTGCTCCCACTGGTGAGTCCAGGCAGCAGAACCCCACAGCCACCCCTCCCCACTTCCCTGGCGATTGTGCTCCTCAAAGCCGTCGAGTCACCCTGCTCCCAGCTGGGATCTTCACCTCGTGTTTTAAATACGAGCACTGGAAACTTGGACGCCCCGAAGTCAGGGATGGCATGAACTCAGCAAATGGCATTTCAAACACTAAAATGCTTTATACTTGTCAAGCATGCACTGACCACGGTTACTGCAGCTGGATTTTGTGTCCTTGCAATGTAAATCGTGCACATGCCATGCCTTGCTGCTTGGTGGGAGCTGTGCAGAAGATTGTTAGTAGAATATAGACTTCTATTCTTTGTAAACTCTTCAGTATTTTCATTCCATCTGCTTAGTTACAGCTTTACTCAGGATTGCTCTTTTTATCCCTGTTCTGTCTGCTAAAATAATGGCAGTAAAGCAGAGAGTGTTGACATTTAACTGGTTCTGTCATTTGGCCATAAAATTGATTTATCCTTCTGTAAAACAACTTTTGTTGCTTTGCACTGACAGCCTTCTTTAGTTGGATACTGTGGTTTCCTTCTGCTAAAGGGACAATCTTAGCTGGACCTTCATTGGTGTCCAACAGCTCTCCAGGGTGTCCTGGACTAAGGGATGAGCTGATAAAGACTGATAATCCAAGTCACAGATGATCATTTCTTTGTTCTTGTAGTCAAGGACAGGAGAAACACTGTCAGCACATACTGCAGAAAGAGCCTGTCCCTGTCCTCTTGCTGTACAGGAGGTCAACAACAAAGGTTCATTTAGGGGTACCTGTAATAAATTTTGTGCTGATGGGGGAGAGCTCCCCAGATTAGCATTCAGAGCTGGATTCCAGAAAGTGGTGCTTCAGTAGCAATTCCCCCAAGAACCAGTGTCTGAAAGGATCTGCCAGTGCTTTGGAGTTGTTCAGCACGGAGTGTGCATCTTGTCCATGCAGGAATTTCCTTGGTATCAGCTGGGGAGCTTCCATGAGGCCAGAACAGAAATCTAGGATAGATCCGGTTTTGTTCTTTATGGTAACAAAACCAACCATGATACCCAAAAACATGCTGCAAACTACTGAGATTTTACCACATCCCTCAGAATGTTGGTGTTAACTGTGGTTGACTTACTGCTGTATCTTAACATAACTCTCATTTAGGGGCTATTAAATCTTGTTAAGCTTTTTATTTATGTCTAGACAGAATTTTCATTTTACTTGGAGTTCGCCTAATCTTTATCCTTATTAGAAGCATAATTTTTAACTGGTTGATGTGTTTCTTCAAGGGAACAAGTCATGTTCCTTGTTAGGAACAAGTCTTTAGAATAAGTCTTTTAGCCATATTTTGTTGTAAATGGAGCATTCTGTACATCCTATAGGTGCTGTATAGGTTCCATTTGAGAAGATACACTTAATTTTGTGGACTAGGACATGTGGCTGATAGCTGATGTCGTCACTGGAACAAGCTCTTAAATGCAATCCCTGCTTAAACTTTTATCTAGTGGAATTATTCTTCAAAGCCTCCACAAAGACACTTAAAAATGGGTATTTTTATAGTCAGACAGAAAACACTCACGTAACTCATTTGACCTCCTTTTTTTTATGTTTGTTTAGATGCTGAACAAAGAAAAATCTATTTACCAGAGACAGTCTTATGTCTGGTACTCACAAAAAGCTCCATAGTGAAGTTCCCAGAGGCTCGGCCTGTGGAGTCTTTCCCACTCACCTTTCAATAACTGTACTTTTTTTCTTTACACAAAAGTGTGTTCTGATGTGTCCCTTTTTGTATTCCACCATTAGCTTTTGCTGGAGAATGGGCACATGCCCTAAGTTGACTTTCAGAATTTTATTCTTTAATGGATGCATTCAGTTCTCTTGTGTTAACCTGAAAAGTTTGCTTTAAATGAAACCAAAATCTTGTCTATGGCTGATAACTCAGGGAAGAAACTTCTTTAGGAGAAACTTTCACAGTTCAGCTTTTAGGGAGTAGTTTGGTGTTTTCATTTTTTTTTTTTCCTCCCTTGATTTTTCTGGGCTTTCACTCTGGTGATGTGGGAGTTTTTGTTGTTGTTTTGCTTTGTTTTTTCTTCACCCAGAATCTGATTAAATTTCTTTCAGGAGACCCAGGAATTAATTCATTTAGCACAAAATGCTGTTAGACATTGATGAGAGAAAACAGGCAAAATATTTATCAGCAACAAAGGTATTCAAATATGTATTCAAATATCCTAATAGGATTTTAAGCCATGCAAAGATTCTAGCTGGACTCAGGAAACCCAGCCTGGCTGGTGGCTGCTGTCCTACACACCAAGGTTTTAGGGTGATTCCAGCTTCACTGAAAGCACAGGAAAGATCTTATCCACACACACTCACTGCCTGCTAATATTCTCAGGTTTTAATTAAATGAGTTCATTTCAGTGACTTTTTTAATAAGCTGAAACTTCAAAATGGTTTCTTTGTCTTCACAGTAAAAGCCATTGTTTAAAAGTTGGCTTAGCACTGTTCCCTAAATCCCAGTTCCTAATATGAAGTTGTGGCTTTTCCATAGTGTTGGACGGAGTTTATAATATTAAAAAGCAAACATCGTCCTTTTAATGTGTCATTTTTCTTGGTAAATGGATAAATAAAATATAACGACTGATCTAAGTCCCACTTTGCATATTTGATTCTTATCCACACTGCTTTACAACTCCATATAATGTGGAATTACCACCCCTTTGCTCTAAAACCTGGTATAAAACGGATTCTACCTCTTAACCACGGGCTGTTGGAAATTGATATGCAAGTACTTTGAAGTTAATTAACTCATGATGTGGTTAAAAATAGAAGATACCTATATTTTTTTGTGTGAGAAGAATGAGCAACTCCTTCTGTATGAAATGGAAGGTCTTACTTATGTTCCCTGTATATCAACACTTAAATAAGGCTAAATAAGACTTAAAACAAAACTTATGGCAAGAAGTATCAAACTAGGCAGGAGCCTGGCAGGAACTTGGACCATGTTTGCTGTAGCATTGCTTCTTTTTTTGAAGTGGTTCTTAAATGAGGTTTAATAAATAGAGTCCCCTGAAGCTAAAAAGCAAAACAAAATCCACTTTTCCTGCTACTTGCTCTCTTTTTTCCCCCCTTCTTGGGATGAAGGATTACAAGGGTTAAATACTACTGTCAGGATTATAGTGGTTGAGTAAATATTTTTGCCTTTACCATTTGTTCTCTCTCTCTCTTTCTCTCTCTCTCTCTCTCTCAACATTTTAGGTTCTACACACGCTGGAAAGAGTGGGAATCGTGGTATTCCCAAAGCTTTGGTTTACATTTCTCCTTGCGAGAGGAACAGTGGCAGGAAGATTGGGCATTCATTCTCTCTCTTGCAAGCCAGGTAGGAAAACTTCTTTCTCAGAGGGCTTTTGATATTTTGATTTCTGGAAAGAAGTGTCAGAACTAAAAGAGTTTTTCAGGAATAAGAATATTCATGTATGGAGGAAAAATATTCTTCTTAAGCCAATGATCTTAAAATCTTACTTAGTAAAGTCTTCTGTCAATATAGAAAGGTTCATTTGAAATTACAATTTTTGAGCTTCCTATTAAGCAGTGCAACACAAAAAAAGAACTGTGGTATTAGAGCAAAGTCTGTAGCACTAACTAATAGACAATCATATGTTTAATATCCAGCTCCTGCAGTACTTTGACCTCCCAGAACACACCTCCAAATCTGTCAGCTTACACTGCTCAAACTCCAGCAAGCTGAGATTTTATAACTCAGCTCCGAAATGAGATTTACATGCCTATAAGCTTCCAGCTATGAGAATATTTTTAGCTCCTCTTTTAAACATGATTTTGGTGCTATTTTTTTTTGAGATGTGTTTTGGATGTGCCCTTTTCCTATCATCAAAAGGTATTTGCCTTAAAGTGCCCTCAGATGAAGGAATTATTTTTAGACCTTACATTATGTAGAGTTTCACTTCTAAGTGGGGAATGAAATCCATTACATTGAATCTGGGCAATAGGACAGAGAATTATTACTGACAGCTGACAAGCTGAAATGTTTTTCCTTATTTCCAATAATTTTCCAGTCTTTTGTTTTTCCTGTCAAAGCTTTATCACTCTTAAAAGCATTTTCTCTCAATTTGAAGATTGTTTTTCGAATGTCAAAGTAGAGGATGGTAAGTTCTGTTTCAAGTGATGTCTTTCTTTGTGTTTGGTTCAGCCTGGAGCGAGTTTGGAGCAGACACACATTTTTGTACTTGCACATATTCTTAGAAGACCAATTATAGTTTATGGAGTAAAATATTACAAGAGTTTTCGGGGAGAAACATTAGGATATACCCGCTTCCAAGGTAAGCCTTGCATTTTTAAAATTCACTTTTAAACAAGGCTGGGCTGTAAATCAGTAGTGACAGGAAGTGACTGTCTGGAAAAGGATGGAATATTATTGTGGGTAAATTTTCATTTACTATTAAAAAGAACAAAATAATCCTCTCCAGACTTGCAGTTTTTCATTTTATAATGGGCATGGCGCCTGTAAAAGTGAATTCTGTGATACTTTAAAGGGAGTTTTAAAAATTTATCTGTGTTTCAGTGATTCACACTTTACAGCAAGTGTATGTTAATACTAACTTTTTTCTCATTAGTACTATAATTTTGCTTAGCTTGATCAGGTTCTTTCTGACTTTTTCTCCTCCTTTTCTTCAGGACAGCGTGACTGTCCTTAAGATAAATATGAAGATGACTCAGTCCAGTTTTGCTTAGACTTAACATCTGTAGATTTCTAAAGATGCATTTTCTGCTTTGCAAACCAAATCTGTGTTTGGGCAACTTTCCCCTTTGTGACATGCTAATACTTTATTATTCAAATAATAAAACATGAGAGGGGATTTGGAGCATCTGCACAAACTGAGTTGTAAACAGAACCCGAGGGGAAGGAGCTGTGTGTGTTCCAGGGGATTGGGACATTTGTTTTGCCCACAGTTCATATTCCTGGCCTCAAGTACATCTGCTTGATAATGACCCACTCTTTATTTATAGCTTAGCTGAGGACTTCCCAAAACATGTGATTTGAAAGAAAACAGTATGGTGACTTTGGAAGGAGGCAAGCCCATGGTCTATAGAAAACCCTAAGCTGTGCATTTAATGTTAATTTATAACTATTTAGAGTCTTGGCTTCTAAGTTTGGGGCAGTAAGAAAACTTCATATAGGGAATTAATTACTTTTCTGAAGAGTCTAAAAGTTTAGTAATCACTGTAGTCGGATGTTAACTTTTCCTTTGATGATGAAATGCTGGGAAGGAACAGTTACTTACATCACTTTAAATCTGAGCTTTGTGTTGCCTTCAACTCCAAGGCTTAGTGGTTTGCAAATGGTTTTATTTCCTAGATTGGGCATCGAGGCAGACAAGTGTTACATGGCCTAAATGTGCTGAAATTTTCTTGCTCTGTGAACCAGAAGGAAACTGAGTGTGTGGAACACCCTTTTACTGCAAATAGGTTTCCAGGAATTTAGGCAGCCAAATAGTTACAACTTGAGATTTCCTTGCCACAAGTCACATCCATCCATCCATGGAAACAGCACTGGGAACAGGTGAACTTGGAGTCCTGTGTCACAGTACCTGGAATTGCTCCTCTCCCTGCCCAGCCACATTTTTGTGGTTAATGTGTGCTAATCAAATGCCATCGGCACAGCTGAAATCCAACTGAGTGGGGTGGGCTGCCAGGAGGAGTCTCCTGCTCTGGGCCTGTGTGGAGCTTTGGGGGAGTGCTGGGGTGTTCCTGCCTCTGTTTAACATCACATCCACCACAAAAGTCACTGGAAGTGTCCAAGGTCAGGTTGCACAGGGCTTGGAACAACCTGGGATAGTGGAAGATTGGACAGGGAGTGGAACTGGATGGGCTTTAAGGTCCCTTCCAACCTAAACCACTCTGTAATTGTGGGTTATAATAGAAATGGGGAATTGAATTTTTTTTAATGCTTATTTAACATCATGGTTCAGTTTGTAGCACCCTCTTAGCTACCCCTAAAATACTCTCATTGACAGGAAATTTTTTTTCCTGGGATTCCTTGTTCGAGCTTGGCATCCTTGCTGTAGCTGCTGTGAATCCCATAATTGCCAGCCTTCTTGTTTCCCAGATTCCAGCCGACTTAATTCTTTAAATATTAAAGCTTCAGTGGTGGAAGTTCTGTTTGCTCAAGTCCTAACTATGACCCTGGTCAGACCCTCCTGGTCTGGCCATGTGTATTTAGTGGTACAAATATACAGCTTTTTAAATGGAACAGGAAAAAAAGATGACTGACTGAAGTGATCATCAGGTCAGGCTGGAGAAACTAAATCCTGTGTGGGTGGCTTCAGGATAGGTGTTAGCCTATACTCTCTATTTTCTGTGGCTTGTGTTCATGTCAATTGTTGTTACACAACCTTCTGCCTTTATATCAGAGTGACTTTTATAACTCCTAAGAGCACTAGATATTCTCCCTGACAATGCTTGAAATTCTTTTCTTGTGGAGCTCATCACAGTGTTGAGGAGGAATGGAAAGTGTAGCACAGCTTTCTGTCTTAGGGAAGTGATTGGTGTGGAATTTTCACCAGGATAAAACAATGGTGAAAGAAGATTTCCAAATACTTGCTGAATTTCAGTGTAGAGATGGAGGCAAACATGATTTTCAGTCCTGAAAGATCAGATAGCTGTGCTCCCAGGAACCGAGGGACTGTCTTCCTTATATTGGACTGGATGTCATCTTCATGGAAATTTGAATTTTGACTGGATGTTTTGTTCTTACCCTAAATGCAAAGGCTTGAAACCTTTAGTGAACATTTACCTGGTGTTAGTCGCCTTTTGTATTTAACATTGCTTTAGAGTGAGACTTAGTAATGGGGACAGGAGGAAGGGAAGGCTAAGAAAGTATTGAAAGGATCTGTCTTTAAATCGAGGTGTTGTAAAAACTTGTGTGACTCTTAATTTTAAACAAATGGCCAGACTTTTAGGTAGCTCTTGATTGCTAATTCAAAAACAAAGGTGGGGGAGGAAGAAGGCACAGTTATTTACTGATAGCCCTCACTAATTTTTACTGCAGTACAAAAAGATGAGCTCAAAACTTCAGCAGAACCTCCAAAGCCACCCCCTGCCTCGGATTCCCATTTTAGCCTTGCCCTTCCCTCTGGGTGGCTGTCGGAGGAGCTGTGTTTGCAGCAGCAGCTGTACTAGGAGGGGTTGCTATGCTACATGTGCACTTGAGTTTATGTGGGGGCTATTTTTAACCTGTCACAAGGTGAGCTGTGCTTTTGCTTAAGTTGTCTTGCAGCAGTACACACCAAGAATTATTTATGTTCCTGGAAGAAAGGAGTTCCAGTTTTATTTTGAGATCTCGAGCTAATTGCTGTCTTTATTGCTAAAAATGGTGGGGAGAAAAAGTGCAGTTCTCACAATCTCTGACATCAGGTGTTGGTTGTAGTTGAGCAAAGTAGTATCAGCTTTTTGGTGCTTTTTTTTTTTTTATTGATATGAATAATTGATGTGTGTTAATTTAATCTGTGAGTACTGTATATGAGCAGTCCCATTCTCTGGGATGGGTTACATCAGTGCTGAGTAACATTTTGTGCAGTGAGTTCTTTAATAATAACTTTTGTGAGCAGATGGTGGAATTTTTACTCTGGTAAAAATAGACATATGACTGTAGCTTTTATTTCTGTGATGTAGAATCCGAATTTTTTTTTCTTCAATTTTAAGATGAGTTACCAAACATGAAAGACTGCTTTTCTTACTTTGTTTTTTGTTCATGACTTCACTATAGACCATAAATTTTAGGGCTGTGATAATTTACTGGTTGTGATTGTAATCTTTATGTCTAAACCTGTACAGTTGCAAAGATACTTGATTTGTGTTAATTAATAACAATTAGCTCTACTGAAGAGTGTGGCCTGTGTCAGTGTAGACCAAACTATGTACGTTTTAAATATGATGTGCTTCTGTATGGCCCAAACCACAAGGTTCGTGTCAAAATCCTTCCTTGAAGGATTGAACAGCAGTTCTGAGCCTTACGCTGTGCTTTCACTCCCCACAGGTGTGTATTTGCCTTTGCTATGGGAACAGAGTTTTTGTTGGAAGAGTCCCATAGCTCTGGGCTACACGAGGGGCCATTTCTCCGCCCTGGTTGCCATGGAGAACGATGGCTATGGCAATCGAGGCGCTGGTGCTAATTTGAACACTGACGATGATGTTACTGTTACTTTCCTACCCTTGGTGGACAGCGAGAGGAAATTATTGCACATTCACTTCCTTTCTGCTCAAGAGGTAAGGAACAAACGCCTGGTGTGTGGTGGTGACTTTGTCACAGCTGCTCGCTGAAGCTCAGCAATCTCTGTAGCCCCCTGAGTTTTTGGTGTCCAAAGAATTTCAAAGAGTGTGTTCTTCTGGTTAATTAATACTGCTCCCTTCCCCATCATTCCAGGTGATTCTGCAAGGTATTTTCCCACAGATTTGATGCTTATTTACAGCTCTGTAAACTTCATTGTCCATGTAAAAATCACAGAAACAGAATCATAGACTAGAATCTCAGAATGTCCTGGGCTGGAAGGGACCCACAAGGATCATCCAGTCCAACTCCTGGCCCTGCACAGGACATCCCAACAATCCCACCACCCTGTGTCTGAGAACACTGAATACCAGCATACCTAGAAGACAAAACTGAAATCTGCCTTTTGAGGTTTTTTTTCCCTAAAAATGCAGCACAAATATTGGCCCATAGTTGCAGCATTTTCCACCTTCTATTCTAATGAAACTTAACTCATTTTTTGTTTTAATAACCATGATAGAGACGTGGAAGTACTTCACTAAAGGGAGTGCATGAGTGAAGGGAGGGCTGGAAAACTGAAGCTATTGCAGAAAGTGGGCATTCTAAATAAAGGGAGAAAAATTTGAGCTTCAAGTCTAGATCTAGAAAGGGATGTTTCTTCAGTAAGGCACAATATTTGTTATGTTTTAGAAGAGAAAATATTTCATGTCAAGAACTTAGGCACCTAAAAATGCATTTGTAAAGCCAGAAAGCTTTTGTAGGACTTCTGTCCTTATATATGGTGCCTACTGTAGATAAGTAGTGCTTAAAAATAACTGGAAATATACATGTGAAAAACTGGGGAGAAGAGCTGGAGAGTACTCGCAGAGCCTTCAGCCTTTGGTTGAAAGCGCAGTGGGCAATTTTCCTTTCGGAGCCTCTGGGTGTGTTGGGTTGGAGCGGCTCCCTAGAAGAGAGGCAGAGAAGCCGAAGCGTCGCGATGGAGCAGGAGCGGCGCTGGGCGTTGAGGAAGCCTCACTGCTGGCGTTTTGTTGTGTCCCCCAAAGATAGGCAACGAGGAGCAGCAGGAGAAGCTGCTGCGGGAGTGGCTGGACTGCTGCGTGACGGAGGGCGGGGTTCTCGTGGCCATGCAGAAAAGCTCCCGCCGGCGCAACCACCCGCTGGTCACCCAGATGGTGGAGAAGTGGCTCGACCGCTACCGCCAGATCCGGCCCTGCACGTCCCTGTCCGACGGCGAGGAGGACGAGGACGACGACGACGAGTGAGGGGCAATAAAGTGCAAATGAGCAGCGCAGAGTGTGTGACCCCGAGTGAGCGTTGTGCTGTGGCTGTTGGGTGTGCAGCGACCCGTGTCTAGGGGATACGTGCTGGGAAGGGTTCTCCCACAGCACGGGGAGAGGATGGACGCTCATCCTGCTGCCTGGAGAGAGCCGAGTGGGCTGGACTACAGTTTGTATAAAAACACGAAAAAAGAAACAAAAAACAGCTAATTTTATTATCAAGATGGGAAAAAAAAAAAACAAACAACAAACCAAACCAACCCCATTTTTCTTTCAGACTGTAAATCTGACTATAAATGTACCGCATGTGGTTGTGTAAGAGGTTGTGTAATAGGAAACGTATACCAGCATCTTAATTATTGCAGAGAAATTTTTCAACTAAGGGCACTTCTGAAAGCACATGTGAGCTGGATGGATATCTCCTCCCTCTGAGATTCTTTTACAGTAGAACCTGGTCTTCTCCATCACCTTTTAGATACTCTGACAATTCCCTGAAAGGCCCTTTCCTGTGAAATCTCACTAGTGCCCAGGTCAGATTGTGAGAGGTTTTTTTTGTTTGCACAGATATCCACAGCAAGTCATAAGCAAAAATATGTTCATTATTTTACTAATATTTTAGTTATTGCTGTGCCCACGTAATAAAGCCTAAACTCTACGGAACAAACTGGAAGAGAAGCTAAATTTTCATTGAGTGAAATAATTTGTTTCCTGAAAAAGCTTTTTGGGGTTTTTTTTTTACCTTTTTTTTTTCTTCTAATAGTTAATAGATTCCTTTCAGTATACATAATGATATTTATTCAGAGAAGTGACCTAAAAGATAGGGATTTTATTCCTGTGAGCATACACTAAACAAAATTGTGTGAAATCTGAGAACTTGAACACAATTGAAAATTTAATCTTGTCAAAACTCCGTCTTGCTGTGTTACAAATGATATGACTTTATCATTTATTCTTTGATCACTCAAACTTTGCTGCAAATGAAAAAACACCTTTTTAAAGGTTACTCCTCGGTCACTAAATCTAGTGAGAATCCACTTGGCAGTTCTAATTAAAAAGAAGAATCTATGCTCAAGTTGTTTAAAAGCACTGTTATATATTTCTCAGTATGTAAACCTGGGAATTTCTTGCATGTTGATTGATGTGGCCATACTTAAACTTATGTAAGTTCCTAAGACTGTAAGTTCAGAGTATATTCTCCAGTAGAAATTTTATTATATTTGATAACTTTAGCCATGTAACCTGTAATGGATAAAGTTTATCTAAAAATCTCACTGAAACACTAAAGGTTAATGCCAGTTTTAACATATACAGTGCAATTCAGGTTGTCTTGAAAAGCACTTTTGATGGTGTGGTGGTTGAATAAGAAATTTTGCAGTAGATGAAATTGTTTTAATTAGAATTTGGAAAGAAGCCCCATAGCACCTATTTTTATGTAGTTCAGAGCTATGGAAACCCTGAGGAACTTGCTGCTTTTTCTTCCAAATGCTGCTTAGATGGTGTTGAAACGTGCACAACTCCTACAGAAACTTGGTGATGACACCAAAAGTAAAGAAATAATGAAGTACTGTATTAATTCTGCAATTTTCCCCGTCCTAGATTCCATGAGGTTTATTATGTCTTCACCCTTTTTGGCCATTAGATTTCCTCTGCTTGGTGCATGCCCAGATTTCCAGGTGAAGGATGAATGCTGCTCTGCCATGTGCGAGTGACCCAAATTCACCACCCAACCCCAGATACTACAGGGGTTCTTCATGAGCACATGATCCTGGTTCAAGTTCTCTTTCTAAATTGGGATGTTTCCTTTTTTTATCCTTACCTTGCAGTGAAATCCTTTTATACCTTGTCTAGCTGAGGATGTAAAGCTTTTCTGTCAGGGGAGCTGAATGCAGGGTAAGCTGGGATGAGGATTTCCGTGCCCTGAGCTGCTCTGTGCTGGAGTGGTTTGTGTGTCGTGCTGTGACCATGGGGCTCCTAACTCAGCTAGCTTGAGGAGCTCTCAGTCAGTGGCCAGACCTGTAAGTTCAGATCCCAGCCTGCCCCTGACCAGCTGCCCTGTGGACAGAAGGAAAAGGCTGCTCCAAGGATGCTGTGGAGTTTTCACATCCCACCCCTGTTCCTTTGGCAGAGCTGTTCCTTGTCCCAAGGGGAGAATTACCAATGTGAAAATCTACCTTGAGCCAAGCTGGCCCAGCCCTCCTGCCCTCCTCCCCTGCTGTCCATGGGCAGCCTGCATTGTGTCCCTGTCCCCCAGCCCTTCCCAGAGCAGGGCAGTCCCCGTGGCCAGTTCAGCTGTTCTCAAACGCATGCACCGATGAATTTCTCACTCTGCTCCGACAGCACAGTCCTGGTACTTTGGATCACTTGGCTTCCTTGATCATCATTGCTTTGTTCTGATGTGCTGTACAATGGTCTGTTCAGGTTCTCACGCTTCACAGGCCCTTTGGGAACTGGTGAAGTGTCTTTTCCAGAATCAGAGTAATCCAAACCTTCTGTACCTGTAGATTAAAGAGCTGCAACCCCCGGCTTCATGCTCGCACTGCAGTCAGTGTATGTCAGTGGCTCCTCAATCACACACCTGAAAGTTTACAGACACTAAGACTAATCTGCACACACTCCCCTGCAGCTTGTCAGCAAGTTCTGCACTTTCAGCCATGAAAATATATATAAAAAAATGGGTTTCTCAATGTTATTTTCCTCATATATTGCTCGCAGCAGCACATGCTTTCCTAGAACTTAGCTTTTCATTGCTACCTCCTTTACAGCTGGTCAGGATTTTTTTCTGGTTTTATTTATGACTTCCTCAGTGAAAATCCCTGTATTTCTTTTGTTTTTAATATATTAAAATTTAGTAATTCTGGATTCTTCCAAAGTTCTGCTGCATGGCTTATGGCAAATACCCTCGAGTTGTGTTTCCACCATTACCCAGGTTGGTTTGTGTGTTTGGATACTTTAATTGCTGTTTTTCCTCCCTTTTATTCAGTAATTTCCCCTAATACCCTTTGTAAAAGGTTTTATTTAACGTTTCTCACCTTGAAGCTGCTTGTTTTGACAGCTACTTTGACATCTCTGGAGCTCTCCCTGGAGAAAGAGATGATTATCCCAGGAGAGCCTTCCTGTCTGCCTTCCCTGAGTGGGACAACAGCAGCATGGCTCTGTCAGCCACAAACCTTCACCAGCAGCTGTTCATCTCCCATTTCTTTGCCCAGTAATTTTCCATTTGAGAGCTGCAGCTCCTGGTGTGATGGTATTTTTCCCTTTCTGCTTCCAAGGCTCCAGTCTTTGCATGTTTTGCTGGTGTTCTCCCTGCAGGCACTTGTAACCCTTGGGATGGCTTAACCTCTGCTCCTGTTGAGCTTGTGGCACTTCTGTCCTTGGTTTTGGCTGAAAGGGAAGTTGGGTGTTGGATGAAAGCTCCAGCATTTTCTGAGCTCGGAGTCACTGCTGGCACAGGGGATCCTGCGGCGCAGGGAGGTACCGGATTACTGAGAAACAGAGTACCAGGGCTCGTTTATTTTTAAAACAACTCTAAACCTTAACATCAATTAAATGTTTTCCTTTGGGTTTTGATGGTCATTTCAGTGTCTCCCAAACACTTCCCCTGTATCTGACCTGTTTTATCCCAGTTTCTCACAGAGGTCACAAATAATTCACTGCTGGGCTGTGCTGAGCACTGACAAGGAGCAATCACTCTGTAACAGGTGACCTCTTTTTTGGACGTTTGAAGCTGGTAACCAAGTTTTCAGTTTAATTTAAAGCAAACAAAATACAGAGTTTTGTAACTTGGACACTTTGGTTTCAGCTGTTTTTAGTCCCCATCTAACTCCGTGTGTGTGGCACTTGGACACAGTGGGAAAGAAGGGTGGAAACAAGAAGAGGCCTTTTGCCCAGTGAAGCTCAAAGCCACCAGCACCTCTTGAGCACTTTTTTTGGCTTTATTTTCCAATGGTTTGATAATGCTTCAGCTCTTGAGAATGTACAGAAAATGTTGTTTGGGTTGTAGCTACCTTTGTAGCTTAGTGGAAACCCACAGTGCTCTCTTCATCACAGAATGGTCTGAGTTGGAAGGGACATTCCCCTCCCACTGGACTGTAAATATTCACCAAGTGTGACCAGAATTATGTTGCTGTACCTTATGGTTACCTCTCAGTTTCTCCAAGCCCCAGATTGCAGCGAGAGCTCTTGCTTTTCAGAAATTATAGAAATTTTATCACTTTTTATTGAAAACTGCACTGAACGCTAAATGTCCACCTTTACAATAAACAAATACAGTAACGGTAACACACTAAAACAAAACATACTGATAGCCATTGGTTTCTTTTTTTGTCTGTTTGGGACAGCTCAAGATTTCTTTTTTTTTCTTTTTTTTTTTTTTTTGTCACAGAAACAGGAATGTACCCATACAAAGGCTCAAAACAGGCCATCTTTAAAAACAAAAAGGCGATGATTCACAAAAGACTATGAATATAACATGTAGCTAGTTGATACAAATCTAATAGGATTTGTTAAAATCAGTCACATCTAATAACACATCTTGAAGTGTTCTTGTATAAAATATCACGTGAAGAAAAGAAGACTTTTATCAATGTCTAAAAAAGTGGATTTTGTTCATAGACAGTCTGACAAGTTACCATAAAAAGTGTTTCCTGAGACATAAGGAAATGCAACATTATTCTTGAACCCTTTCCAGCTCAAGACTTTTTCCACTTGATAAAATAGCTGCAGATTTAAAACTGAGAAAATATATTTGAGTACAAATAGTGTGTGAAATTTAATACTTTCTTCTTTTTTTTTTTTCCTTTTTTTTTCTTTTTTTTTCTTTTATTTTTTCTTGCATCATTGCAGGGCGTAGGTGGATGCACAGCTACTTTATTCAGTGTATTGGGCAGAGAAGAGACTGGCAGTTTGGTTTTCCTTAGCCTGGGAGGGCAGTGCTCAGTGCCAGGAGACCTTTCTGCCTTTCCCATCCCACAGATCCCGGCTGGAATGGCTGGAACTTAGACCTGGCAGGAGAACTTCTGTTACACGGCACTGGCCCTGTGAGACTGCAAAAAGGAGGAGGAGGAGTATTTTCTTTTTTTTTTCTTTTTCTTCCACTTCTAAGCCAGGACTGCTGCCCCCCGTTAGGAGAGGTCACCAGATGCAAGAGAAAGGAGAGGGCTGAAGCCACACAATGGTTTCTTGTTAACTCTGTAAAGATGGCTTAATTCAGTGGCCTGACCACAGTGCAGGAGCCCTGTCCTTCCCAAGGAATTGAGGGGGGGAAAGAAATTCATTTTTATTCATGTGATTGATGCACAGATGAAGGAAACTCAACACACAATAACAGAAGTTGCTCATTAATGTATCACATCCTAGTTTTCAGCACTGCAGGGAGCAGGTGACTTCTCCAGGGCTTCTCCCCAGTCTTGGCTGCTGTCGCTTTGTCGGGAACACTGGAACATCAATGATGCGTCTGTCCAAAATCAACATTACAAATTCCGTATCAAATGCTTCTCTTTTAGTTCATGTATAACTTCTTTTCCAATGTCTCTTGGTCCTAAGTTTATTGAATGGTTTTTAAATTATCTGCTATTGCTCGTTGGGATGTTCCCTGTTGTCCCCGTGTTTTGTGGGCTGGTTGGGCGATGGAGCTTGGGAAGGATGTGCCACTGTGGGAAGGTTGTGAGTGACAGGGATGCCTCCGGGAATGATGCCCTCCATAGCTGCTGGGATTCCTCCTGGTGCCACACTCACCATCCCAGGGGGATACCTGGCACAGGGGACACAGAGATGCAGGTTTGTCACAGCAGAGCTCAGCACACACCCGTCACCCCCCCCACCACAGCACAGAGATCCCACTTCCCTCCTGGAGCCAGGTTTGGTTTTTCTTTTAAGTCACAAGGGAGAGCTCAGAGTTAAACGGTGACTGCTGTGCCTTGGGTAAGTGTCCTCTGCCACACCACCAGGACTGCAGCTTGTTCTGTGCCTTCTCACAGCCTCCTGAACCATGGGGCAGCTCTTCTCCTTTGGAAATTCGGGTAAGGAACCATCTGGAATGCTCTCTGAAACCCTAAATGCTGACGTGCTGACCCCATCGTCCCTGTGTGTGAATGCCTCGAACACTTACACGTGGTTTGTAAATTTTCCCTCTGTGGAAGGTGAGCTGCATCTTCCTCATGGAACAGCACAGCTCAAAGATGGGATCAGATCTAACCTAGCTTTTCAATTATACATATTCCAAGAAACAGTGAGTTTGAAAAGGAGAATAACAAGTTCTTCAGCTGTGATGTGGGGACAATGATGACAAAACCATGTGGAGCTCTGAGGCCTGAGGGCTCCCACTTCCCTGTGGCTCCACTGCCTTGAGGCAAGGTAGACTGGGGAGCTGGAAGGGGAAGGGAATTTTACTTGGCTGTGAAGGTGGTGAGCTGAGCCAGCTTACAGGGGCTCCAGGGCTGCAGCTCCAGGGAGCTTAGCCAGGATGAAGCTCCCTGCAGAGACACCTTAAGCTGGAAGCAAGGCTTGTCCTCAGGTGCTGGCACTGCCCACGCGTTTGGGAACAAGAGTGGGAACAGGGGGAGGCTTTTTCCAGGTTTGGACGT